AATTACTTATGCATTTTCCATTTTGGTTGTTGATTAGCTTTGGGTGGTAGAGGTGGGACAACTACCAAGTTGAGAATCCTATTGGAGAATTTTATGAAGCGTATTTTGGGATTGGATGAGCACCATCTGGTGAAACTGACCCTGAGCAGAGTGTCTCTCTACCAGCATTCATCCAGCTTGAGCCTCAATTCCCATTTATCTTTTAACAAGAAAAGAGAAGGTCCTTAAGATCAAATCCTCAAGATAAACTGAGATTTCACATTTTTGTTCACTTACAAAACGTTCTGCATATCAACTCAGGATACTGTATAATAGAGGCTCCCAAACAGTGGAGAGCCTCCTCAGCAGGATGAAGGAGAGTTGAAGAAACGAGTACAGAGGGAATGTTCTAAAAAATAACTGGAACTCAGATATTATATTCCAGCCTGCTGAACTGCCCTGGTCACAACATGGTCAGCAGTAACAGTGACAGCAGGGGCTGTGACTCACAGCTCATGGAGGCTAGGTGCATTTTAAAATCAGATAAACCAGTTTGCTTTTAGAACATGCACGGTTTCTCTGAGTCATAACTCAACAGAGATATTTATAATAAGCAGGTCTGCCCCGACAGTAGATTTTTTCTTTAAATTTTAAATCAAACTTTGATCAAACTAATTTTAAAATAGTATTTGGTCATTCTAAGGGGTTTCTGGTCAGATGTGAGGTCCCCTACTAAAGTTTCAAGAACAACAACCAGCCTCAGCTGGTCACAGCCTCCAACAGGAGTTAAAGGCATTAAGAGATTGGCTCATTGGCAGGCAGGCTAAGAGACAGTTGTTGGTCGTCTTTATTGAGGTTCATTCTACAGAAATCTTGTTAAGACTTTATAATGATAGATCTTTTAGACCAAAGTGTTTCTTTGGTTCATCTTGGCTCAGGGTAAACGAGTTGATCACATTTTCCCCATATCTGTGATATCTATGTTTATGTTTAGTGTCTGTTCTCTTTGTTGTTTGTTGTTTTATGTTTTCATTTCTTCTTCACGTTTTGTTTTTACTTCCTTTGTGTGCAGTACTTCCTGTCTTTGTCTTTTTACGCCACTTTTACGCTTTAATTTCATTTACATAAATTAGTTCCTGTCTTTGATTTTTGTCTCCTCATTCCTTGCTGCTTTGTTTCATTTTCACTCACGTTTTACTTTTGCACATGGTTAGATTAAAGCTCTAAATGAGAAATTTTAAGCAGAAAAAACTATTTAGTTAGGTTTCAGCATCATTACTAAATGGAAGGTCCATTGGTTAGTTTATCTTGATTTCCTTTGCTTTTTCTTTTAATTTTAGCTAAAAAAAAACAAAAACAAACTCTACCCTAAAAAAATGTCTTTCTAAATTCACCGTGGCTTACACTTCCTGGGGATGTCATTACTTAATCTCCATTTTGAACTCACCAGAGATTCATGACTTTAAGTTCCCTTGTGTATCAAAGAGATCCTCTGATCTTTATAGTACATTAATGGATACATTGCAAATATTTTATGCTCAGCATCGGGCCCATTTCAGAAGAACTCTCATTAAGCAGCTCCACAGAGCAACTGCTGTGCTGTTGTGAAACTACTTTGTGTTGAGACACACTCCCGTTTCCACGGTGAAAAAGAGACAGAAGTTTATTTCCAAATTGCTCCAAGACCATCATACACAGTAGGTCAAAACATGTATATTGACCAATAGGTTGTACACTGATGTAGTTAGGGTTAATGCTGGTGTTTAAATAAACGCATGGAGGTTTGCTGTTTTGTAAGACATGTTTGCTGGTAACATGGCTTCTAATTGGCATGTTTCCAGTTAACTTGATTATTTGAGGAGGAATAAGTTGTGCTCCTCAGGCTGTGTTTTGGTACACTGTTTGGTCTCACAGCTCCTCATTAAACTGTCTAATCACACGGATTTCATGGATTCTGTCTGCTGCAGCTTACTGCGTGACAATAATTGTGAGATGGTTTGGATAAATAATCAAAAGACGATATCTGAAGGTGAATTTTGAGGCTCTTGGCCTTCTCCTGCCTGGATTATTCTGATTCCTTTTGTCTGGGGAGTAGGTTTACACAAATCTTTGCTAATCATATACCATTCACAGTTTGTCTTCAAGTATGTTCCCTTTGAGTGAGGTTTGGAGAAAATAGAACTGCTTTCCAGTTGCTGTTGCTGCCTCATAAATAAAACACTCAGCATTGTTTATGATGACTATTTTGCGTCCCGCTATGTACTAACATCATCTGTTATGTCAGAAATACTTTTGTACACTCTCCCGAGACTGGTTACAACCTGTGTGGGTTTTTGCTTTGTGATTTAAACCTGCATTATGTTACCTACGTACATCATTATTCAGCAGCAGTGGACTAGAATCCATAATACATTCTACTGTATACAGAAGTTCATTTGCAGAGTTTTCTTACTGAGATGTCTCTCGCCAGCTCTCAGCATGAATATTTACCTCAGCGACTCACTCTGTTGCAATAAGTATCGCAGTGGAACAGCCTCGAAAAGCGTGTAAGATAAATTCTGCCTAACCCTAATCCTTTATTGGAAGCTGTTCTAAAGTTTTGTAACTTTTAATCAGGTGATTGAATCACGCGACAACCAAACCAAAACAGGTGCTGTGTGAAGAAATGAGCAAATAATTATTTATTGTTCCCAGAAAGCTGTAACTTTCTGGGAGCAATAAATAAGTGAAAATTGGAGCCCTGCAGTCTGCGAGCTGTTTATTTTCTTGTTTCTTCTTTTTTTGTGTCTGTTAACTAAATTGACTTGAAATATGCAATAAACACTTCCCGGGGGAAAAAAGGCCGTAATAGTATAGAAACTGCAAATTGTGTTGTATGTAATGACTTGTAATACAAATTGCAAATGGAAGTATGTGTATGATGTGCATAGAGGACATACTGCACAGTATTGAGTTTGAAAATGTGTCAAAATAATGAATATGAACCTGTTTATGAGACTTTATGAAAAGATTGTGGCAACGGGCAACATGAAAAGGTGACAGTAGATGTTTTTAAAAGAGAAATATAACCTCATGGTTCCCTGCATTTCTTGCCGCATATAGAATTGAGTTTAAGGTGTGTTTATTTATTTTTAAAGCCATACAAAATTGACCTTGGTTTACAACCACAGGACCTGCGCAAGTATTCTTGAGTCATGTCATCTTGTGATGACGACATTGGCTACATGGTCATTTTGAACCAAATTTATTGTTACACTTCTAATCAACAGAAAATAGCTCAGTGTGTAAAGCATGAATTTTGAACTTAGGTAATCTCATATGCATGTTTTCAATTTTTTAGATAATTCCTTCTTTTATTTTTGTTTTTTTATGTTTATTTTTCTGGCTTTTAACCTGTTTTCTGTCTGCTTTTTTATTGTTTACTGTCCTATAATGTGTACTGCACTTTCTTGGATTTGATTTTTGTGTTTTAATAAGAGGTACAGCCTTTCTCCCAGTGCAGGGACCTCTGTGGTGGAGCAGCTCAACACAGAAATGATGAAATATTTACATTAGATTTTTAGCTAAATGAGTTTACAGGTTAGACCTAAAGAGATTCCCTAAATCCAACTTGTTTTTTCAAGTATATGCTTACTCTTAGAGTTTATGTATGGTAGTTTAAGAAGATCTGTGTGTAAAAAGCAATGTGTCAAAGGCTTGTAATAATTTTGACTATGGATCACAGTGGTATCACAGATTTTGCTCTCAGTTATTGATGAGTGCAGTTCTGTTCAGAAATGCAGTATTTCCTAAAACATTTTAAAACAGCATAATAAAAACTGACTGACAGTTTGCGATTAACTGGCTTTTTCCTACATGATCACATCTATTGTTTCTTGTGTTATATCTCACTCTCAGGAGCGACATTAGACATTAAGATTAAGACATTAAAGACATTTATCAGATGAGTAACAACAAAAATCTGTTAAAGACTATACTATTATTCCTATTATCCCTCTGAAAGGAGGGAGTATCTGTCTGTCTGTTTATTAGCAGTGTAGTGTCCACAGTGTACAACATATCATTTTCAAATTTTGTGTGATGGTAAATACCAGTGTTTGGTGAAAATCAGGTCAATGTCAAAATCAAGGTCACACCAAATATGAAAATCAGTAAAAACATACCTACATTACCCCCAATTGTTTATGGATGGTCTTCAAACTTGAAAACTAGGCTAGGCTTGGGTGACATGAGTACCTAGGTTGGCTAATAATTTGACCTTGACCTTCATTGTTAGTGCCCAAGGTCGAGGCCTAGGAGGCCAATCATTTCAGCCAATTCTGCTCCAATCATATGAGTAAAGATGATAAAATACACCATTTTAGTATCTAATGCAGGGGTGGCTAACTCCAGGCCTCGAGAGCCGGTGTCCTGTAGGTTTTAGATATCACACTGGGTCAACACACCTGAATCAAATGATTAGTTTATTAGGCCTCTGGAGAACTTCAAGAAATGTTGCAGAGGTAATTTAGCCATTTAAATCAGCTGTGATGGATCAAGGACATCTAAAACCTGCAGGACACCGACTCTCGAGGCCTGGAGTTGGACACCCATGATCTAATGCTTTGAGGTCAGGGTTACATGAATTAGGCGAAGTCGAGCACAAAAGTCAAGCTCATGAGCCACATCAACCGATGGCTCACCTAACACTCCTCTACACATCCAACAGGCAAACACATGAGGATTTTAAGCTGCTTTAGTCTGCAAGCCTCTTTGCAATCTACCACCACGCCATTTCGTCCTTAAGTTCCACATCTAATTGAATCAGTCATTAGTCTTTGTTTTTTCTACTGGAAGTGTAAAAAGCTATCCTCTCATCACCTTTATTCTATAGAATAAACGCTGGACAGTGGCATGCTGACAAATATAAATTAATGCTGATGGGCTAAAGCTTCTCCTGACTGAATTACATTTGTTAACATATATACGTGAATTGATTAAAGATAATGTCTTCATGTGTTTCACCTCTTTTTCTGTGACAGGAAGTGATGTCAGTGGAGGAGGAATCCACCTCATGTTATTGCCTGATGGACTCGACAAGCTGCCACTTGCTGCTGGACCAGCCAGGTTCTTACGCCCTCGTGGGTGAGCCCCTGACGCAGGCTGCCATCAAGAGGCTGAAGCTGGCTGTGTTCGGAACCATGGAGGTTGGCTCCATGAGCTACACCTTGCGGGTGTACTGTGTGGACGACACGCCACATGCCTTTCAGGTGCGCCCTTTTTGTTCATGGTTGAGCTATGATTGTGCTTTCCATGTGCTGTCCAGGGTCTAATTTATCTGCAAGAGGCCAGTAATAAAGGCCTGACTAGGGTTTAGCTTCCTTGCACTAAACCTGACATTATAAACTGCTAATTCCCAGGGCAAAACTAATTTAGTGCTGGACTGGTGTATTTAAAAACAGCTGCTAAAGTGGAACCTTTGGATGTATGGCTGCACTCCCCTATGCTTTGAGGTAGTTCCCGGTTTTATTTGATCTCTCATTTATTGGAGGTTATTTTATTTTTTAATGTACAAAAAGAATGTGTCAGGTAAAATGTTTATATATGGAACATTTGAAATGGGTCGTAGCTGCAATGCCAGCATCTTACGGAAATACATTTACAAGACATACTTACAACTCCACCAATGAAGGGTTTATTACACATATTGCTCATTTCTATATGTAAACCCAGTACATTCATGCAGGTTTGTTTCTTAGTAGCATTTCCCTTTACATGTTTTTGCCCTTCTTTTTTTTAAAAAAAAATTTGGGTACATGATCCACAACTTTACTGTTTCTGTTTACTCTCAAAAGGCAGGCAGCTACTTATAGTAATCTAAAGGCAAGCACTCTGAGTTAGCAAGTGATGGATTTAGTCGTCTAACAGTCACATTACCTTTATGTGCTTGTAGAGACTTTAAAAAGTGAAAATTGCCACCTTACAAAAAACTTTTAGTAGTGTCAACTTTGAAAGGCGTTATGACATCAGTCATATGTTACGCCCTGGCCATAGGTGGCCAGAAATTTTCAGATTAGTGCAGATTTAAAGTTTTTTGGTCTGACACTTGCCTTGATGAAATAAATGGACTTCCATGCAATCAATCTTACTCTGAGAAAGAGCCCCCCTCACTCCAACAAAGACACACACACACACACACACACACACACACACACACACACACACACACACACACACATACACACATAGATACAAACCTTTTTTTCAGGTCTTGTAGTATATGCTGTTTCCACTGGTGTGTTTAGTGAAGCATAATCTTTGAGCTGCGCAAACCTCCTGCTAGTTCTCTGTCCTGATGTTCGTCAGCAGTTGTCATTTGGGTTTTCTACTTTCACTTCCAAATCAATAAAAACAAATCCGTACATAACAGACTTGGCTGATTTCTATCTGCTGGATCTACATAAACTGTTTTTTCAGCTAAATGCTCTAGTCATACCTTGCACCCTCTATTGTGGTACAGTACAGAGTTTGACTTTGAACTATTAGCACACCTTTTCTGGCCATGATCAACAAAAGAAGACATTATTTGTCATGTTTTACACATATGGTAGGATTTTATTGTGTTGTATTCCCAGATTTTAAAAAGGAAATTTCACAAATTCAGTTCCAGCTATTGACAGTATAAAAGATGGATGTAGCTGCTGTGATGTCACCTGTTGGCTTCTAAACTCACGTTTTGAAACCTCAAGGTGAACATGTCCGCCATCGTTATTTTGGTTGAAAGAGACTGCATAAGAGAAAACCTGCAGTAAAACAACTCTATTGAAAAACCATCCAACACTGGACATTAACAGCACGACATCTTGATCAAGCTAACACCTAATTCAGAGCAAGGTAATCATTCAGTCACATGGGTAAAAATAAGACAGCGGCCTCCTCTATACATCTTGAAAAAAGATGGGTGGCTTCTGGTGATTATATTAATTTTTTTTCCAAAATTCTGCAACTAATTGCAACTTGTGGTGACTAAATGGTTGCACAGCTTGAGAGTATTGCACAGTCCACGACTGCTTTTGACCACAAGGTGATTGCACAGGTAGCCTGTTAGGACGCAACCTTTCTGCACACAGTTGCAGTTTGACTTTAAAAAACTGCAATCACTCTCAGAGAGATTGTGCAATGTTTGCAAATAATTGTTGTCTAATTTACAAATCCAGTCTGAATGAGTCTTTGTCTATGAACACAACTCCAAGGGACTCGAGTCAGCTGGCTGCCAGCTGGTTGCATTCAAGCTATAGAACATGAAGGTTGCTGAGTGCAAATGTAACAGTAACTGTTAAATGTAAATTTCTGTCTATGTAGACAACAACAAAACAAACAAAGTTAAGCTCTGCAAATGGCTTAATTTTTTTTTTCTCGCCTCGTGCCATTGTTAAGTGATTTTCATGTTGTGTTGTATTTGCTGACTTAATTTCCAGGACTCTCAAATTGAAAGTTCAGTCTTTTTGTAAATGTCCACCAACACTTTAGCTATGTATTTATACCGTTAAACACAAAGATGAATATTTTCCACTCTGCAAGGAGAGTGCAGATTGCACTGTAGGCCGTGGCCCACATTCACAATGAGCATCTTGTGTGTGGTTGTTGCCTGCGCTCTCTGAGGCAGCAGGGACCACAACGTGTGCACTTTCAGATACGAGTGATTGCACATTCATTACCACAGAGAAACAATACAGCAGTGTTTTAAACACTCTGTAGCAACTTGATGGATGCTCTTCTTGTTCTTTTAATAGAGTCAGACATAGTGTGCCGTACTGTAATCGCTCCCATTCAAACGTTCACCAATCATTCTTTTCTAAAAATCTCATTTGATTTGATTATCCTTCAGCAACCTATAGGGTTTTAATCATTGAAATTTCATCAGTGAACATGAGGGAAATCAAGTTCTCCATCCTCCTGAGAGAGCTTGAGTAAAGGAAGACAGAGCTGAACAGAGCATAGCGAGCTTCGTGACTGACTACCTCCTGACCAACCTTCTGCCATGCTGCCAACATCAGCGGCAGCTGGCTTTAAAATGCATTCTGGATTTGGTTTATGAATTCCCAGCCTGCCGAGCAGATGCCAGACTTTAGCATGTCCCCTGGGCTCCTGTTTGTTAGCGCCACATCTCTGCTGTGTGTTTCCCATGCTCCAGCACAAAGTCAATCACAGACCGGGATTCTGGATCAACAGGAAGCCTCATGCAACACAAACACTTGTGTGACAGAGCTATTTTTCTTTTCTTTTTTCTAGTTGAAAACAAAAAACAGAAAAAGAAAAATTGCAGGATTCTGTTTTCTTTGACGCAGCACAACGTATGAAAAGAAATATGAAAAAAACAAATTGAAAAAACAAACATGCAATGTCATTCTTTATGTTTTGCATCTCTTCTAAGACCTTTGTTACATACAGTGGTTTACACATGAAGATGCCCACATTCACACTTGGTGCTAAATAAATACAAAAACTACATCACGGCACCAGTAAATTGGTAGATGATGACAGCTCTAAAAGATACTTGGAATCTTTTGGAGCTGTGTCCCGGACATTTCTCAGCATTCAGTGGGTGCATGATGTATGGGAAGTTGCCTTGGGGTCTTCTTCATGTTTCTCTCTTCCTAAGCAGATTTTGCAGTGTGGCATGCACATTATCCGGCTATCGGGCAGCGCTGTTGCAGCTCTAGGGTGTGATTGGTCTCCATCAGTGTTTAGGGTGTGTGGTGTATTTTAAAGCAACCTCCACATGAATGCCATGACCCAAGATTCCCAAGCAGATGATGTTCATTTTACCACCATGGTTTTATTTTTGTGGTCCATCAGTGCATAACTCTATTAGCTCTTATACACAGAAAATAAGTATTTGGAAGACATGTTACTTTTTTTGTTTTCTCAATCTTCAGCATCACTGACCCTTTAAAAACCACCTAATTTTGAATTTAGCCATTAACAAGTCTTATATCACCAACTTGTAACAACAAAGGCAAAAAGAGAGTGTCTTGTTCCTTAGGAATGAGCAACCCCCTCCACCAAAAGTAAGTCCATGTCCAAGGCCACAGCATTTAGTCATGTTGGAGAGAAGGTGGATAAAACTTGCTACCTGAAAATACCACCTACATTAGTATTCTGCTGGCAGACCTTTCCTAGCAATGAAAATGCTCCTAGAAAATACTTTTCACCTCAACCTTTAGTCTTTAGCCTTGGCAGAGAATCACTCCTGAATTTTAACATCAGATAGAAATAACTTCTAAAAATTAATCCAATGCTTTTTATCACAATAGATCCTTGTGACCTTCCGTCACTTCATTCAGAAGCATAATGTGAGTGTTTTAACAGCACATCAGGAAAGGTAACAAAACGTGACGTGTCTTAAGCACATACCCAGAGCCTATTTCACCCACATTGCAAACAAGATTATTTGCCATCTGCCATGAGGAGGAGGAGTTACAGTTGACAAATTGATGTGTTTCAAATTGCACTAAGCATGTTTGAAATGTTATTTTGCCGGCTAAAGGAAAACAGACCAAGTCCAAAAAATAGAGAGACTAAATCCTATTTGTTTATTGTTTTTGAGCAGTAAAAACATGATTATACATTCACAAAGTATAATGAATAGGCCATTAATTAATCCCTTAATTAGACCGCGGTGCAAAGCACCAGATTTTCACCCTTGAATTAAATTTTCATCCACAGTTTATGTGGGTAAGATCTTTAAAAAAATGCATACCTCTGAAAGGTGATGAGTTTGCAGCTGGGGTTTAGTTGCTATACAACACTCTAACCTCCAAACAGTGAAGGTAAGTAAAATGGCCCTACAGTTAAGACTCTCACACTGAGCTGATATAAATGTGCTAATGTGAACGCATGACAGACAGACAAAGAAAAGATAATCTTGGTTTACGAAACTCTCATAAGAAGTCTAACTTCTCTCATTACTCCACTTTATGTTGAAAATAGTTGCTCCTATCTTAAAAAAATGTTGTATAGTCTTAGAAATTTCACATCATTAAAATTATTCACATTTTATATTTCCTGATTGTTGCAGCCGTACTTGAGAAAATTATGCAGCTGGAAGACTACTCTGCTATCAGACAGGATCATGGCATTGACCCTGTAGAATTTTAAGTTCTGTAATTTTTTTTTTTTTTTTACCTTAAATGAAGCTTGGAAGTCTTAGTCAAGTCTCTTTCCTTCTCTTTCCGCTGTCATCTGTAAAGGCACTTGTTGCACTTAT